CATTACTTTATAAGGAAAACCATTTTGCAGTTTTAGTTTCCAGTTCCGTAAACAGCATTCGAAGCTCTATCAATTCATCTGGGTCTCCATTCAAAGTTCCAAGATAAGTAGACTACCCCTCCTTGGTCAGCCACATCCCATACAACACTCTTTAGCGACATTTCTACGAAGAAATTTGCACCAAATCCGACAATGCTATTCAGATACCTCAACACTTTTGTTACCCTTTACCTGTGATACTGCCGCATCCCCTCACAGCGCACTTATCCACCAAAAGTGAAGTGTTACTACTGAAGCACTTATGCCGAACCTAAAGGCTCTGCCGCCCAAGCCATTTATAGGTCTCAATCAGTTCTTATCACATCTCGAAAGATTTTATTAACAGTGATAAAGCCTTAGCTAACCAGCACTACCAGTACCATCACCCCAACCAAGTCCCTACCATACGCTTCCTAAACGTCCCCAATACAAGCAGTGAACCTTTCATACCGCCATCCTTATATGATCCGTAGAATTAAATGTTTCACATAACGTGACTACAAGACTTTATACAAATCGTATATCGCTAAAGTTCTCAGGTAGAACATGAGATATAACAGGACAAAAATCAATAATATGTATGTTTACATGACTAATTCTGAAGTAGTATGCTTCGGTCTTTGGAATGAGGATAATTCAGATTATGGTCTTACAACATATCTCTGTAAAGCAGTAGGTCTAATGCAAATCACGGTCGTTGACAGGTTTGAGCCTAAACCAAATCTTCACATAATGTCGATGATCGCTAGCGTTGAGAGGAAAATGCTAGAGCGAACCATCCTCTCGGTAGTGATTGTTTTTTAAATGGCGCCTCAACTGTGGATGAATTCTCGGCGTTGCTATCATGAGCCCGCTTCTTAAAAAGAAAGACGAGTATCCATGAACAGTTCCTAAAACTTGCATTCATACCTTTCCAACTTTTTTGGCACGATGTGGGAAGTGGTCGTTCTCCTCTAAATAAGTATTCCATCAAAAAGCTCATTGCCTCATTTGGATAAGTTAACGAAATCGAAATTTAAAGAAGCCTACCGTTCACATGTATTTCCAGATTGATATCTCCCAGAGGACTTCTATTAGTAGCAGCTGCTGCAACACATTCACTAGCAGATGAAACCAAAGTTAGTAAAGAAAAATGTAAGCTTCACATATGGCTTGAACTTGGCTCACACAAATAAAACAGGACCAATACTTTACTACGCCTCACGAATATCTATTTAACGAAAGTGAGATCAAATTTGAAGTTGCAGAGCAACTGATCACAAGCCTGTAATAACAGTTTTAAATGACTTACATGAGCTCCTATCACTGTGAGGATTGTTTACCGTTTCCAAATTCTCTCCAGCTGCGGTCCTTGGAAAAGAAGGTGCTGACGTTGTATTGATGCGTGCCATGTGCGAAGAAGTTTCCCTATGCATTACCAGCATTAGGAAACCGATAAATCATTACTACAATTTATGGCCAGAGGAATTCTGCTTGAAAAGTCACCTGCATTCATCGCACTGCCACTTCTCCTCGTCACCATCATCCTCGGGGGTATAGGTGGACCACGGTGGCCCAGCGCATATACGGTGGCAGTGCACTCCGCAAGTCTAATAACATTTAATCAGTTCACCAGGAAGTTTGTATTCACTACAAGAGGAAGAAAAAGAAATTGACGTACGATGCATGCATTAAGTGCTTCGTGCGGGTTGAACACATCATCGTTCAAAGCATCACTGTCGTCGTACCTATCGGGACCAATAGTACTCACACAAGACCTAAATTGTATCGCTGAAATTACAGTCTTGCGGAATCAGATCATCTGCATAACGGAGCTCAAGTAAACTGCAATGAAAAAGATTGATGTAGCACCTAATTTGCAATTTTACTTGAGCCAAACCAAACCCACTCCAGACAAAAACAGGTATGCTCGTTGTTTAGAGTTCAAAGGTGAATGCATTGAATGCAAATGCGGTGCTTTAGGTGACGTATCGAAACCAAAAGCGTGCCAACCAGAAAATCTCCTCGTGAGAAGCCACAAATCGTATTAAACTGAGAAGAAAGTCTTGAGTGGTTTGACTTTCTTCGTTGTTTTATTTTTTATTTAGCGTACAATGGGTTCGTTTAGTGATGTAATCATCACTGTTAGTTTGTGCCCCACTATGTGGGCAGGACTATATTCCTCTTCTCCTAGATCTCCCAGGAGTCTAAGAAATCACCGATCTCCTTTCAACATCTTCACATCTTTGTGAAATTTTTCTTAGCTATTAAGGCTTTCAGTGGACGAAATAAGTGATTATAAGAGGGTGCAATGTCAGGGAATGTCAGGGCTTCTCGAACAGCGAGATCTGTGTTTCTGGACCTGAGTTTCGTGAATATTACCTGTGACCGTCTGTTCTCGCGGGATCACCTCTTATACGTCATCCCTCGCAAATTCCAGAAGCATGTGAGGAAGCACTCCTTGAGTTTGGGCATGATTTGGCACTGTCGGTGGACCTTTTCCTCGAGGGACCCCAAGGCAAGACGCGTGTCAGAATAGAAGAGGACTGAACCCCTATTTCCAGTGATCTTCCCTCCATGAACTCCTTCTCGAGGCTCACCGCGATATCGCGGATGCAACCTCATGATCTTCTTTGACAGCATTTAGGTGACCGAATCTTCTACAGAATGAGTGTGGCTTTCGAAGCCCACGCCTCCTTATTCAAAGAGAGCGAATCAGCATTCGATCAGAATCAGCTTATGGGAGCGGTGTCCTCTTTTAATGCGCTTTTGACTTTACGAACGGTAGCTATCGCTCCAGTGCCGCACCGCCATTAATAGAAAATGATGGCTTGGAGGTGCTCGTGTGGAACTGACATCGACATTGAAGTCAGTGAGCCAATGCGGCTACATAAATCTAGTGCGGAGCCCTTCAAGGCTTATTTACAACTGTCACGTGGCAGATCATGGGTTTCGATCGAGCATCGATAAATCCGTTACTCTCAAGAAAGGTGCAAGACTTTCTTACCAACCTAAAATTTGGTGCATTTTGTAATCAACATTGAAGAATGAAATACTTATGTTAGGAGAAGAACTTTGACGACTTCACTGAGAATAACCAAGCATTGTTGGTGTAAAAGTGCAAAAACAAGAATGATTTTTTCGTAAACGCATAGTCACCGGCTCTTTGCAGAACAACGTCTCATGGCATAGTAGCACCGAGATCGCACGTTACTATCCAAACCGTCATCATCAGGTTCCGTAACAGGGTTGCTGAAACTACAGTCTATCACACTTTGTCAGTCACAGGCGTCAAAGTACAAAGACCGCACCTGCAGCACAGGAAAAACAGCAGAAACTCAAAAACTTAGATAGACTGATGCAAACACAAGCACAACTTCACTTACTTATTTGGAATAGAACCGAAATTTACTGTAAAAGTCATACACACGATCCAGCGGATCGACAGAGGCTGTATTTGGGTCTAATTGAGGTGCTCAAGTTTACGCTTTCGGAGCAGCATTATTGAGAGGACCACAAACGCATTTTTCTCAATGCTATATTCAACAGTTGTGAAAGGACCTTCCATTAATGCAAGGACAAGAATCAGAAAATGTTAGTAGTTGAAAACAAGCAGTAAATATTGGAAAAGGTCGTTGTATTATGTGCTGCTGCTTGAGGGATCGGAGATAATAGGTGTCACAAAAAGATCAGTGATCAGGGTAGATAACACAGAAGGGAAAAAAATCAAGTTCGTTTCGCCTTTCGTATTCACGTTCAAAACGCAGTCTCGGATCTAAGCCTATCAAGTGGGAGTAGTGGGATCGTAACCGGAGGATGAAGAATTGAAAAAGTCTCTTACGAAGTCTCTTGAGTTGGCTTGAAAGAAAGTTGGTCGGACCCCCATACTTTTCGTATCGACAATGGCAGTAGCCTTGGCATTTTAGTATGGGCTGCAGGATGGAAAGAAATCACGGGAGCCAGATGACAGGTTGCGCTATGCATCAACTAGGGCTGATGAAGGGCATTAAAATGGAAAAGCCATGTGTCCCTCGAAGTATCAACTGTGCCACTTTAGTATGTGCTGTTGGGCGTGAAAAAATTGGGAAAACTGTATGGTACCGTTCGCAAGGAAATCACCTTGAACTTTTTCCCTTTTCTTGTGTTATTGAGTCCAGAATAGTTGGTGGTGTTTTTGCTCTGTTAGCTGATTGCTCTCTGAAGGAAGATACTCTGGCTCTTGCTCTCTGACCGTAGAGCAGCTCTCCGTCATTGCCACGGCCGTAAGCAGTAAATGAGCCATGCTCAACATCCAAGGTAGTTTGTTTTGTTAAGGTTTGCGATTACGGCTATCGGGTCTCTCACAGGCCCAGTCAAACAAGCCAGCTCGGAAGTGCCACGGATTGCCATTTCTAAGGACGATAGGAAGATCATTTATGCGTCGTCCCAAGATCCCATGAGCATCTCCCAATATAATGGCCGGAACATCGATGACGGCGACGTCGCTACCATCTAGAGTTATCATTAACGTACGCCTGCGGGATGCTGGATTATATGGAAGAAGTCTTGCGAAAAAGTATCTGGATCTCTGTGAAAAACATACGGGCTCGACTTCAATGGGGCGTACGTACCTTCACTGGACCTTCGACCAATGGTGCAATGTCATCTAGAGTAGGGGCTCTTGCTTAGTAGGGATGGAATCTCCAATACCCAGCCGTCATCGATGTCAACGATTTTGCTACAAAGTATTAGACTAGTAGCTAATTAGGTTTCAATCTTATGATGTAGCGTTTAGGTCAAGTGATTTATTTTAAATTGTTTTAACTGGTGTTATTTGTCTTCAGAACAAATGTGGAAAGTGGGCTTGTAAACTTAATAAGAATTTTTTGAGTTCTGTGATAGAAACATTAAAAGTCATTACAGTTGACGACATATCAAAGATTCAGACGAAAACATCCAGTCGAGATGAGTTATGGCACAAGAGGTTCAAGGTGATTTTTTTTGAACGGTCCTGTAGGTGATTAGAAACAACAACTTATCTAAACTGTTAGGAGCCACGGAATGCAAAGTCACCAGGCCGCCATTTTACGTATTCATATTAAAAAATTACGGAGCCTTGGCGCTTGATTATGGCACGAGGAATGTGACTGCAGGAACAATGAAACAATTAAATGAAAAAAAACCCTGTGCCATAAGACATAAGCTTGACAGAAGTCTGTTTTGTTTAGGTCGCACAGACTCTGATCCTCCCTTATACTGCATTTATTGCTGATCTTTTGGTAACCTATAAACTTACGCGTCTTGCCCTGTAAAGCATATGAAGGTGTCATAGGTAACATCTCCTAGTAATACCTATATAAGCTATTATACAGTAGCGCTCGAAAGTATTCGGCCAAAGGCTTTCACGCTTTTTCGTTCATAACTTTCTTCTTAGGGAGCAAACCGCGGGAAATTTTGATATGTTCAACTAAAGAATATTTCACAGTATCCAACACTACTTGAATGCGTAACATCAAAATCCGCATAACTAAGAGCAATACTTGTTGCAGTAGTGGATTTCGCTAAAGGCAAAGTTATTGACTTCTACAGTTATTCGCACCTTGTGTGCGTTATTCTTCTCTAATATGTTCGGCATTAGCGCTCGTACACTTCAGACTTCGCAAAAAGGAAAGAAGTCCCAAAAGGAACATCTGTATTTCCAGTTGATTTTGAGTTCAAGCTCTTCGGGATATCTGGAACACGATCAGAATGCAGGTTAATAGTGGTAAATATTCAAAATACACCCATGCTATACATATTGAAACTTCACATGATTAGACCCAGTGGGAAAGAAGTTACGACTGAAAAGTACACTTGAAGAAGCATTCCGCCGAATACTTTCGAGCGCTACTGTATATACAACAACGGTGAGAGAACAAAAGGCCTGCGCCTTCTGAGATTCGTGGAAAGGAACAATTTTCAATTTTTTGTTGCTGTTACCATTTTCTGTAAACCGTTCCCAGCGACCCACTCACACTCTACATCTCAACAATTGAAGCAAGCTTTAAAAGTTGAAAGAAAAAAGTGGGTGGCGCCTTTCCTATACGTTCAGAGAGATTGTTGGTCTCTCTGATAAACGAACGAATAACATCGTTCAGTGGTAGGTGATTTATTCGAACAAAACGAAACACCCTGATTGCGGGTGGTGCACAAGAGAGAGTGCCCTGTAGCGGGTATGACAGAAGAGAATGTCCTACTCAAAGGCACAGTTCATGATAATTTTGAGGCACCCGTTTTTATACGAAATGCGAAAGTATAGATTGGGAATAGTTTATCGGTAGCGAAGGAAGCGAGAGAATTCACCGATTTCGAGCAAAATATGGCTCCTCAAAAGTAGGGAAAATAGAGTTCGGACGAGATTGCCATGACGGAAATAACATGGGAGGGATATTTGGACGAGATTTCAGTTATTGCAATTACACAAAGAACTGAATGCATCGAGCCAGAACTGTACAGAACTGTCTTTCACTGTGGCTATGGGGCATGACAAGATATTTGAACTTCCCACATGGGTTCCCTCGCGATCGGTGCAGCCTCTACAATGCCGGTGAAACTCGTCCGAGGATACACACGGGCCAATCTTTGAGCCCTTACAGCCCCTAACTAGGCCATTTTCCGACCTAATAGTGCCAGATATGGTATACGCGGGGCCTCAAATTTATCCTGTAGGGGAATCTCAGAAACCATTTTTATCGTGGACTGTGCCTTTGAGCCCTGCCTCGAAAGAGCGGTGGTGGCCGCGGGTCTGGCCTATGCCAGAACATCCTATTTATTTTCTGATATAGATACGTGCACTTGATGTGGAGCGGAGCTATCACAACCCTTCGGTAGTCTGAACTTGACGAAAGCATCACAAGTTTGTATTCTTTACATGGACTCGTGTTTGTTGGGTTCGGTTGCAGCGCAAGACTGAATTTGACCAGTCTCACCAGCTCAACAGTTTGCCTCACCACGTTTTTACGAGGCTGGTGTGATAAAGGTTACTAATTATCATGCTTCACCCTTTGCCTTCCCTTTCAACTGATATAAAACATTCTCAGGAGCAGCGCTGACAATTAAATATGTTTGACCCGATGATACCCTAAACTTTCGGCGAAAAAAGACCGTGGTAAGGGTGAGTCACATAGCTAAAGAACACAGAGCTTTGGGTGGCCACGAATGTTGGTGGATATATAACATAAGGAAAGTGTGTGCTGTTGTATCAAGCCTATAAATACAACCATTTAAAATATATCCAGTGCACTTACTAAGTTTGCAAGTAGATCCCTTGCCGTTTCAGTCTCTCCTCAAAACATGTTTCTTCATTAGGACGATTGCACGCCGGGCAACGCATTTCTTGACCACGTACAAGGGACGCGTGCTATAATTCAAAAAATTAGTCACGATCACTACCATCATAACTCTGACCTTAGTTAAGCAGTTGAGGGGTATTTCTCCGAAGTACTTACAAGTAGTGAATGGGATTCAGTCTGCGACAACAGTCTCTGTACCCCATATTTCCCTCTCCTGTGTGCAACTACCCTGGATTTTACGCCATATACTATGCTCCTGTTAAAAGCACAGTTCACGATAAGAACGGTTTTTAAGATTTCCCGCTAGAATGTATATGTGGTCCCCAAGAGTAGTAAATGGGCCGCTGTCGGGCCAGGAAATGGCCCAGGCAGGGCGTCATAAGGTCTCCAAAACCGGTTTGACCGACTCAGATACTCAAAGTGGCAGTGTTATGCCAGCCTTGTTATTACTGCACCAATTGAATGGCGAAAAGAATTGTACGCATAAATGAGAGACACTCAATCGGCAATCTCGTACAATCCTTTTTCTTGCTTCTCTTTTGAAGTCTTACATTTTTTGGAATCCGCCAGGTTCGGCGCTTGTTTGGCCACCCTTGCACTACTCTTCACTACGGCTTCCTTCATTTCACTTGAACTAGACACCACAGAATTACCGTGAATGTGTCTCTAACACCACTCAATTCTCATTTCTGTCTATATGTCATCTAGAACAGAAATTCAGAGTTTATAGCGAGGGCAGCATACTACGAGTATGTGCCACTCGTTTAACACATGCCCCTCTCCCTTATATCCACCGAGGAATCTAGGGCTCTTCTTGATTTCTAATCATTCCAAAGCCCAATTACTGATTATTTTGACTGACATGCCATTCAGTGGAAGGTGTCCCTGAAAATTTGCGGTATAAACACTGGTCCACAAAACTGTTGTATTGCAATGCATTTTGATGGACGCTTAGCAAATGATAACTGGAGGCTTTCAAGATACCGAAAAAAACTCAGGCAATGGATTACAACGTGTAGAAGTAGCAAGGGGATTGAATTTTTGTCAGAAACGTCTCGGCTCCCGCAGATATTCACGCGTCATCATGCAACGGTAGTCAACCACTTGCTTATGATCGTCAAAGGAGAAGGAATAAACAAGGTTCGGCTGCTAATAGGGTAAGTACTGAGTAATGTTCAGTTGTGACAAGGATATCAAAATTATACAACGTGACCTCCATCGGTTGATAGCCCTCAGAGCTCTGCTGTTTTCGACGCAATGAGTGGCTGAAGATCTGTTTCGAGACACCGGCAATCATCATGGGGTCTTGCCCACCAAGTGAGCAAGGGAGTGAAACAAGTAATAACTGATTAGTGCCAGATCAGTCAGATATCATAGTTGACGAAGAAGTATGAAGCCAAGTTTGTTAACTGTCCTCGGGTTTCCTTTGCGACACAGTGTATGTTGTCATGTAGTAGGAAAACTCCACCCTTAAGAGGCAGTAGCTCTGCGAATTCCGCAGCAATCATTCACAGCTGCAACAGTAGGTGTGTGCGTCAACGAGAGATCGTAATGATGCAAGCAACGTACACTTTCTGAAAGCAAAGCAGCTTTCTTGGATGAAGTTCACATCTTGAAACTGGCAATGGCTGTTAATCCGCATCTACCTGTTGGCATCTTCAAGTTCACATCTTGAAACCGGCCATGGCTGTTAATCCATCCACCTGTTGACATTTCGTGTATGGCTTACGTATACAGTGACTTCTGAGCAGCAATTCCCGGCAAATGCTCGCAAGCCACTGCTTTTTGAAAGCTCCACAATCTGATCCAATCCGTGGTCAGTAGGTGTCTCAAACGAATTGCTTCTTGAAGATGCAGTTGCCATTGCGGAGCTTCGCAAGACGATGCGACAGGTTCTATCATTCACCGCGTCCGCTGTATAAGCGGCACAAATATCAGCGACAGGCTTTGCTTGTTGAGTGTCCTAGACCAGACTAGAGAGGAGGACAGTGTCGAAAATAACACCAAATGAGTATATTATATCTTCAGAGGAACTACTAGAAACGTTAAAATTCCGCACTACAGAAATTTAGTAAGGTCAACTCATACAACTTTGGCGAGGACAACAAAATCGCGTTTCAGAAAATTTGGTATTACTTTGAAAAACTGGACGACAATCATTATTCAACCCAATACATCGGCTCAGGCGAGAAAGCGCGAATGGCAAATAGTTAGATACAGTGCAACAAGCTATGAATAGCATTCTGCTGCTTGCGTCATCGCCGCAAAAGAAGATTGGAAATGATCCAACAATCGTCACAATAATCGTGAGAAAATGACTCTGCAGCTAGCAGTTGGCAAAAAAAGTGTAGTGCTGCTAGTGAGTAGTTCCGAAACTAAAATGGCCTGAGCTGAATGCTCCTCGTTGCCGTGTTTGAACGTTAATTGCGGAATCACGCCAACAATATCGCCAAGTGCCTAGGATTATACTCTAAAAAGTATATTACGACAAGCTTTGGCGTGCTGATACAAATTGCATGTCACGGTGATCAACTACCAACAAACTGAAAAACTGGACTTTTTGCAGTTTACCCTACGCAGCTCCCATAAGCTGCATCAGACAAAACAACAGTGTTCAAGGAGGGATGGGCTCTAAATCTTGAACGAGTGCACCTCGTGATTGAACTTCTTCCCGAAGAAACATATCGATCCATTGAGCGCACTTTGCAAAAATCACTCTTACATACACATACACACATACCCACACATCTACACCCACACAACTTAGGGAAATACATGCAGAAGAACGATGAAGATACATTAGGGTGATACGAAAACTGAAAGAAGCTTCTCAACAACGCTTATGTAATGAAATGAAAAACCCAACTTGAATGTGAAAGATGCTTTGCAATGTTTTGCTCGTACGTGATGGGGTTGTCTTATAATCATAAAGATAGTGTTAAAAGCTTTCCTCATCCATCAGTCCCGTTTGCAGTTCGCGCTTGTATTCGACGAACATTCAGAATCGTAGTTGCGCAATGAATGCGTATTTGACTTACACGAAGAGTTGCATTTCGAACCTATATACTTGTTACTGCTTTTATCTTCTCACAAACAGACGAGTCAGGTACCAATCAAGTGACCTCGGTGGGATGGAAGACCTGGTTGAACTGATCGGATTTCGATCCGTGATTCGATTCCCGAACAGTAAGTTGTGATAATGGGCAGTTGCCACTTGATATACCATCTCTTTGACTAGTTCCGAACAAACATTTCGGTGCAGCTATTAGCAAATCGATGTGTAGAGAATAAGGAAATTTCATTCAAAATAATGAAATGAATGCGAACCTGCATGCAGGCGAAATGGTAGAAACGAAGTCCACAGCAGTCCATCTGAATGACCGAATGCAGGTTTATTTTTGGCTGAACCTTGTCCATGCAAAGGCAGCAGAGATCTTCACTTTCCTGAAACGTGGTGTAACAAAGCTTTTCAATGGCAAATTGATTTTGAATCATGTGTTCTGTCTTTCAAATTTCAATGTTTGTTCAAAGTTCTAAATGTCTTCAATGTCTAGCGCAGAGCATTATAGTTAGTTACACCAACATTACACGCTCGATACTGCGATTACATAATGTAATTTCAACTTTGTCAACAACAAACCTTTTTGAGATCAAGTGAAAAAAGTGACGCAGTTGTTTTCTCAAAAGCTGCCGCCGAGTGTTTTGAACAGAAGCACCTTAAAATCAACTAACAATGAAAACACTACTAGAATTAGTAAAACAAAAACAACGGAGTTAAATGTTCAAAAGAGTGTATACCTGAATTCCTCATAATCCAAATAACACATAGATCGGATGGCACACGGAAGATGGAACACGCGTCGGCAAGAGGTAGAGCAGCAACCTATGCCCGCACCTTTTTCGTGGCAGACACTGCAAATCTGCAAGCGAAGTAGGGCATCGAAAATAGGTTGTTATAAAAACCACTTAAGGTAAATGTTCGGCATAGCGTAAAGAGGAAAAAAGTCTAAAACATAACTGCAACCATTCGACCGCTTACAATATTCAACATTCCAGAGCAACCTTTAATAAGGTTTAGCCATCATTAGTTCAACGAACAGTCAACTTTTTGATCCCCGCACTTACCTCATCAGTAGCAGTTGGAAAATTAGCTATTTGGTTCGAAAAAAAAAAAAACGGTTTCGCCTTCACTTGGAAGAGTTCTTCGAAACATCATGAAAGAAGATGTGCAAACACTTATTTTAATTTAGACCTCAGCAGTTGGAATGCAAGATTATACCAAAAATGACGCGTCAAGTATTTTTTCGTTCCGATTTCTGAACCAAGCTTCGTAAATTAATATTTACCCGACTATTTCATATTACACGATTCCGGTTTGGGAACTGACAGAGAGATGCAACTAGGTGAATGATAGGCAACTAAGCACAACATTCATTCGCCTTCTAGTTTTAGATATTCTTAACAAACAACAAACTTTTAAGAACGGCCTGGTTCTGAATGTTGAGAGCTGATGTACTTGAGATGAGGTTCAGATGCATTTCGGCAAGGACTCATTGCTGGCTTCAGAAAAATTTGCTCTTAACAAATTTCGCTCTCTAGCAGAATGCCACAGCAAAACAGGAAAGTTTCCTCAAGCCGTAGTTGTATTTGTCGGTATGCGAGGTTTACAAGTTCTTGTGGAAAAGTATCAAATTTTGGCAATTACCATAATTTTATCCTATGAGAACATTTCAGTGTCCTGGCTTTAACCAGCGCCTTTGTATCCATAGGAAAATCCTGCTTTATACAACGCGCTAATGTCTTTGTGTTTGTGTGTGTGTGTCCGACCGGAAATTCATAACTCCTGTCCCCGTCGACCTAGAAAGTTCAAACACAGTAGGAGTACTGAGGGCAGGACGGGAACACTTACGGTGGGTGACAAGACCTGACTCCGCCCTTAGGGGGCGGGGTCTGTGAGAAAAACGTTTGAGCGGGAAATCACAGCCCCTGTCCCGCAAGTTGTTGGAATCCATCACCGGATTATAGCATGGATTGAGAGTTATTTGAGTGGACGATTGTTCCAAGTTAGGATTGGGTACACCTTTTCCACCGTGATGGGGGTCCCCAGTGGAGTTCCGCAAGGAGGGGTGCTCTCTCCGGTGTTATTTTGTATATATACTTACGATCTCCCTAGTGTAGTAGAGGAAAGTGATGTAAAGTGTAAGATGTTTGCTGATGATGTGAAGATTTATAAGACTATAGTCTCAGAAATGGATTCCGTCTTAGTTCAAGGAGCTATTGAAAGAGTTGTTAAGTGGTCAAAACTCTGGGAGTTGCCGCTGTCCGCAAATAAAACCTCAGTGCTCAGCTTAGGCAAGGCTCGGAGTACTGTCAATTATTACGCCGACGGATCGAAGCTTAAAAATCTTACTGTTGTCAAAGATTTGGGATCCTAATTGATAATAAGCTGTCTTTTGATACTCACATCACGTCCTAAGTTCATAAAGCTGAGGTTAGATTAGCACAGCTCTTCCGAAGTTTGTACACAAAAGATCCTTGTATCCTCATTAGAGCCTACAAATCTGGTATTCGCTCCATTTTGGAGCATGGGTCTATGGTTTTCTATCCGTGCAAGAAAAAATCGATTGCTAAGTTGGAGTTAGCTAAAATAGCTTCACTAGAAAAGTTTTTTCCGAGCTCTTGGCTTTAATTATAATTCCATTCCCAGATCAATTGTCAGGAACTAGATCCTCGCAATAGATTCCCTGGCGTGTCGGCGAAAGAAGCTGGATCTCATAACTTTATACAAAATTTTGATAGGCCAAATATCGATTGACATGCAAGGTTTATTCACCCTTAGTACGTCGGTCACTAGAGGGGATAAATGTAAGCTAGTTCGGCCTTTTGCGAGAAATAGTATGAGAGCAAACTTCTTCTCAGTTCGGACCTCGGCCGAGTTCAGTAAATTAAGCAAGAAACACTACATGCCTAAGGGGCTGCTCCATCTCAAGCGAATTTTGTCTACACCAGTCGGATCGATAGAAGAATGTTCTAATGAGATTATTTCAGTGTCCTGGCCTTAACCAGCACCTTTGTATCCATAGGAAAATCCTACTTTATACAACGCGCTAATGTCTGTGTGTTTGCGTGTGTGTCCGACCGGAAATTCATAAGTCCTGTCCCCGTCGACCTAGAAAGTTCAAACTCAGTAGGAGTACTGAGGGCAGGACGGGAACACTTACGGTGGGTGACAAGACCTGACTCCGCCCTTGGGGGGCGGGGTCTGTGAGAAAAACGTTTGAGCGGGGAATCACAGCCCCTGTCCCGCAAGTTCAAAGTTGGAAGGAGTCGTAGAGATTGTATATTTCCTTAGCAATTCAAAGGCAAATAATAGTAAGAAGTGTTTCTATGAAATGCAGAAATGCCTCACCAGAGTGCGCCCTCGAGCAAATGCCGCATGCAATTGGTTTACATCCGTCTCAAAGAGCTCTTTTCCTAGTGGTGTAGGATTATCAACAGTCAGAACTTCCGGAGTCATTAGCTGAATTAGGTACTATCAAACATAGAGCATTTGCTACTCACTATAAGAGAGATAACGAGATAAAAAAAAAACTCACGGCGCAGAGTTCATGAATAGCAAAAAACAGAGGAATATCTGGACACCAACGAAGACGACCACATAGTTCGTTGGTATCTGAACCGTTATCGAAACAGAAAATGCACAATGGAGGTTGCCTGAAATACAGTCGAGGAGCACCTACTTCCACATGTCACAAAGTCATAGAGACGATATTTGTATTTTTGCAAAGATTTTCACTAGCATTAGTCAAAGTTGGTAGAAAGGTCTGGGTTAGTCGAGAAGCATTACGGGATCAAATGCCTGATCTGCTTTTTTTCTGGTTATATGAAGAAAAAAAGTCGCCATAAGACTGTTGATAGGTTGATTTATTACTCCCCTTTTGGCTTTCTACTTTACCACGAACGTATTGTATGGACAACATCAAACACGTACATATAGGTTAAGGGATTGAGTGATCGACAAGAAAAGCAAAAGTAGTTAATGCTCTTTTCTGATAGTTGTCTCAACTGTAAAAAAGCTTCAGTAGGAATGGTTCGACTAGGAAACAAATAACAGCTTTCACTCTATCTTACTGAGTATATTTAATTCTCTGAGGTGAATGTATATATGTATGTGCGCATATGAAGGTGTATATACGTACAGTGTGTTTCATAATTATAAGGTCACCCTCAAATTTTGCACTACTGAGTATATTTAATTCTCTGAGGTGAATGTATATATGTATGTGCGCATATGAAGGTGTATATACGTACAGTGTGTTTCATAATTATAAGGTCACCCTCAAATTTTGCACTTTCAGAAAAAGCAATCGTTAAGGATTTTTTCTAGCATCATGACTGGATTCCCCAGCACGAATAACACAGGTATCGGTTTTTTAGCCGCAGCTGCATTTTTCTGAACTTTTTCAGAACAGTTTATCGGTTTTTGCACCGTTTCATAATTATAAGGTCACCCTGAAGAAGTGAACAATTATTCATTGAGGTGAGGGAATTCCGTGTTTGATGATACTTATAAAGGTAAGCATGTGTAGCAAATGCATTTCTAAACCTGACTGTCAACAAGGCTCGTGGTCGTCTGCTTTCCTCTGATGGGAAAGCTGATCATGAAGCTGGGCTCAGTAATCGAGCCATCTCCAGGCAAATAGGGAGGTCCTCCTGGTCCATTCGAAGGTTTCTGGTGAGGCCTGATGTCCCTAGATATAACACCGACTGTGCACTCCCATGAATGATTACTGCCCGTGACGAGCGGAAGATTCTGAGAACTGTTTCCAACCGTACGTCATCCTTGAACCAGATCCGATCGGAATTAAACCTCTCCGTATCGAAAACTACAGTCTGGAGAGCAGTGAGAAGATACGAGAACATCACCAGGCAAGCAATGAGGAAGGCGTCACGAATCACCGATCGCCACAGTGAGGCTCGACTCGATTTGCATAGATGAATCTAGGGGAGAGACGGGCGTTAGGAACGATTTCGGGTAATCGATTCGCCGCACGCGGCTGTCGCGGACCACTCATTCGCCGTTGTTACGGCTCTAGCGTTCTTCATACAGCTAAATCGATATGCCATCATTATTTTAATGCATAATGCTACTATTGGTACTGTTGTTCTTGTATTTCTTACCTACTGCTGCATCCCGCTACATTCCTTCGCACGCGAGGCCCCTCTCACCGCGACGCGACCATTTCGTTCCTAATGCACCACACCCAATCTAGGGAGAGACTGGGCAAAGGTAGGTCTGCATCAAAATCTCACCAGCTGAATATTTTCCATTGAAGTTGTCTTTTAGGACGAAAAGAAATTTAACTTGGACGGTCCTGACGGAAACAAGTACTACTGACGCGACTTGAGGAAGGAACCAGTTCATTTCAGCCGTCGCAATTTCGGTGGAGGAAGTCTTATGGTGTGGGGTGTCGCGCTGGATCTAGCCTTCGTGAGCTGCCGAATGGATTCCAAGGACTAGCAGAACGTCTTGGAGCATCATCGAGTTTTCTAAGCCGTGGCCGTCACTTAAACTAGGTCTTTCAACAAGTCAACGCCTCCATCCATGTGAGCCGTGCAACGAATGAGTGGCTGCAACGCCAAAATATAAGCGTTCTGCCATGGCCATCCTGCAGTCCCGATCCCAATCCGATGGAAAATATCTGGGGTATAATAGTCAGACAGGTTTATGCGAATAACCGTCAGTTCCAGAGGGGAGACGGGCATTAGGAACGTTTTGTGTGATCGATCCGCCGCACGCGGCTGTCGCGGATCATTGGCCTCGTCATACCACTTCTAGCGTTCTTCATACAGCTCAATCGCTATGCGACTATTACTTATGGCATGATTCTACTGTTAGATCTTTTGTTCCTGAGTTTCTTACTTGCTGCTGCATTCTGTTACGTTCCTTCGCGCGTGGCGTCTCTTTCGCCGCGACGCGACAATTTCGTTCCTACTGCACAAAACCCTTCCAGGGCACAGAAGACCTGAAGCGAGCAGTTATCGAAGCATGGAGAGCAATCGATGAGGAACATCTTCGAAACCTAGTTTCTAGTATGCCACGTAGGCTCTTTGATGTTGCTCTTAAACAAGAAGCTATAGATTATTAACTGTTGTACATATGCCATCAATGTTAATAAATCATTTACTTTCTCAGGGTGACCTTATCCTACTTTATATAGTTCGCTAAATGTGTTTGTCGGTGTGTGTGTTTGACCGAAAATTCATAATTAGAATTCTCGTGGACCAAGAAAGCTCAAATTTGGTAGCAGTACAGGGGGCAGCATGGAAACACTTATGGCGGCGGCAGGACCGAACTCCTCCCACAGGGGGCGGGGCGTGCGCGGTGAAAATTTCAGGTCGCAAATTCATAACTCATGTTCCAGTGGACCCAAAGCGTTCAAAATTGGTAGGAGTATAGGAAGCAGCATAGGAACACTGATGGTGATAACAACTAAAAGGAGTTGTGTCGCTCTCTTTAAGAAAAACCATAACAGGGTTCAGGTGAGGGGTATTGCGGCAAAAATTTGAATACGGAGGTACATCGTGATGATGAGGAATCTGTAGTGTTAGCCAAAAATTCCATTCTGGCTGCTTTCTCCAGGATCGCAAAAATCAAGGGTGACTTTATAATTATGAAACGCACTGTATGTATGTGTATGTACACATAAGTCAGTGTGTGAAGCATTCACACAATACAATCTCTGGCCCTTTATTGTGCTCTATAAAGAAAATTTTTCGAGCTCTTAACGGCAGGTATGGTATCAGGGGGGCCTCGCATTCACAACAGGGAAAGGTATCGGTGAAGGCTTCGGTTTACTAATCAACTTGCTCTGTTGCAGGTCGGTGCGCCAGTAGAAGCAATTATGAGAAGGACGAAGTTCTTAATGTAACCTCTTCAAAAATTCTATGAAGAGGAGAAATGGGTCATCTGCTCCGAATTAGAAACAGAGGGTCAACCGAACATTTGGACTTTGTAAAACTCAGAACGGAATCTCGGCGCAAGCCTGGCGAACCCAACTGGTCATCAAATGAGGACCTAAAAAAGGATGCAGGAACATCAGTATTACCGGGAATGAGCAACTTTTACCAGTTTCCACCAATTGTCTAAGAACTTGCCACTGGCACGTGCCTTCAAATGACCGGAACAATTGAGTTTCCAATACACTTTTCGATAAAACCTGTCGCCCATTTCGAGTTGAGCGGAGTTTGGCATATTCATAAGCGCCTTTTGCGATAGCATTTTGCCGCCAAACAGCCCATAATGGAAATCATCAAAATCGAAAAGTGATGACAACCTTAAGCGGTGAAGATCTTTTTCAAATAAGATTCGCCAAAACATCACGCTACCAAATTCATGGCCACAACAGCCCGCGAGGAGCCAAGCAAATCGTCATGAGCTTTTGGGCAGCTTTTTACCGGGCTATCGTTCCAACATTACGCTTGTGATGTTCGGGCTCAGTGCACAAAATCTCACTCATGTTCCATCCATAGCCGATGCAATAAGGATGGAAAACCTAGCATCGATGAACGCGGCTCAAGCCGTGAGAAAGGTCTGCGACGTTTATGTAAACAATGCTCTAGAGGATCGTATAGTGCGCGAGTGGTTTGTGGAATTTAAACAGGATGAATTCCCCCTAAAAGGTCGACAACGCTCAGGAGGCTACCATCAAATGGAAACGACGTAATCAAAATGTTAATCGAAACGAATCGGCCCATCACTACTCGTGAAGTAGGACAAAGACATAATGTTGCGAAAGTAATCATCCATGACCATTTACTGGAACTTGGCTTTGTTAAACGCCTCGAAGTATGGGTACCTCAAGAACTGAGCGAGCGTAATGTGATGGACAGCGCCTCTGTGTGCGATTTGTTGCTCAAACAAAGCAAAAATAATGTGTTTTGAAACGCGTGAAAACGGAGGGCGAAAAGTGGGTCGTGTAAAACCGCGTGGAGATTAAGCGTTCGTGAAGCCTGCCCAGTGAGCTCTAACAAACCACTCCGAAAACCAAAATCCAGGTGCGGACGATTATGCTGTGTTGTTCGTGGGATTGAAAGGAATCATTGACTACAAGCTGTTGCGGCATAATCAAACAAGTTCGAAAAGTTACTGCACTGGGCTAGCAAGATTAAGGCAGCAACAGTAACCAGAAACTGAACATTGCTGAACAGAACGAAAGATATATTGTTTGGCTGTTTGGATGGATTGGTTCTTCTAGAAATTTTTACTGGAAGAGGACTCAAGAATCGGCGGAACTTTCCAAACGACCCAATGCATGAAAGTGTGAAGGAAGTATGGTCAATAACTTAGGTGGTGGGACTAATATTAAAAATACTCATCTTTGTCCAAAATCGTCCGTAACGTTTCGAAAATGTTTTATACAAGAACTACAAGTTAGGAGTGGGACAACAAATCAGACGAAAAAGTTGCACCCGCGGTTAGCGGCACGTTGACGACATTTTTGCTAAACTCGTAGCCCTCACAATCTATAGCCAGCTTCGAGAGAGCTCAGATCAAAAAATTCATTTTTATGAGAGTGTTTATTGGGGCGCAAGCGAGTGCAGGCTCATTTGGTTTTGAAATGAAATACCAACCTTTTATCAGAACGAAGCAGTGAAGTAACTAGTTTTTGCAATCGGTATCCTTTCTGTGACTTGGCATTTCTCGCCCTAGTCCTTGGACATTGGTCAGCTGTAAATGAAAATCAAAACATACAAAAGAATAGATCGTTCTCTGTACGCTCTTGTGTTAACAGACGCACAGATGCGCCTACAGCAATAGAATGGTAGGTGCATCTACATTAACAGTCATGAAAGCGAAGGGCACAACAGATTAAACAGTAGTGGAATGTTTCAAAATTTGAATGTACCACCTGGATGACGCTTGCTCCAACCTTCCAGTGCGGTTACGAACGAATTACTGATCTTCTCTGGGATTTTGAGGAACCATTTCTCAGGATTGGACACTAGCTCTTCCTCTACACCACAGAGACGAACCCGAAACTCCTCCACGACCATTTGAATGAAGTACTCTGAATAATGTTTAAATGGCTACATATAATACATGTGTGAAGATGACGTTATGAGTTCAGCCACTAACGACTGCTTCCATATCTAAACACGCAATCGACGACCATCCGTGCGCGCACCCGACCGACGGCAGCGCTAGCTACTTGTTGACAACACTGGACGCCAATAGATCACGTGATCACGTGCCAGTGTGGTCAACAAGTGGCTAGCGCCGCCGCCGGTCGGACGGACTGTCGTCGCTTGCGCCGTTGAAGTCTGAAAACAGCCAACGACTATAGAAGTACGAAATCCGTACTGCTCCTTCAGGCTCGAACGTGATCTCATTCTCTTGAAGCAAAGTAAACCTACCATGAGGTCATGAACCTTGACTCTGATAAGTGTTGACGCTCACTACCTCACAGTAGGGTAGTTCACTTTTCTTCAAAAGAATGTGAAGACGTTCGTACCTAAAGGAGCAGCACGGGCTCAAGTCGCTCTGCTGATGGACGGCGAGGCTCCCATTGAACACTTTACAATAGAAAAATGCCAAATGTAATAATTAAGACACATTACGCATGAAGACTAGAAATTGGAGATGCACTAAAAAACTTAGATGCCTACTTTGGTAAAAAACGACTCTGTTCGGCAACAGCACATCAGCAGGTCGTTAACGTTTTACCGTGATTTGCGAGTCACAAAAACCTGCTCTAGAGCGACTTCAATGTCCCTTCCCCATCCTTTAGTCTGGAATGCTCCTTGCACCTCAGCGCTTTGAGTGAAAGATCCTCTCTTGTTTATCATAACCGGAACAGCAACTGGTCGATGCATAGAGTCAAAGGATGTATCCAGATTGTGTTGTGAACCTACATCTACGTTGACTAGCTCATTCCATAGCCGAAATATCACTAATGATCCATCACGGGTGGGCATAGCCAAAGCAAAAGGTGGTGCGCGGGACGCAAACTCTGCATGCAGCCAATGCTTCATGAAGGAAAATGATTATCTTCAGTGGTCCTCGCTCAAGACTCGCTAAACCGCAGCCAGTCATGATCGATTCTTCCTTCAGCTTGTCACACGTCCTACGAATTAAGTTGACGAAAGGGACCGTTAAATTGAATGTGTTCTCAGCAACCTTCGTCTCTTGAAAAGATTACGGAGCAAGCATGACGTGCGCTAATTGCTCACCCACAGTCATAACAGTCATATTTATGGTATCTTCTTACTTGTTTCGGGTGACATATAGTGGCGGAGCGGAGGTGGGAGGAGAAGTAGCCGACTTTACCAACCCATAATAGTGCTTTGAAACATTTCTTAGACGAGAAATATCTTTTTTCACCTGAGCATCGGAAGGCAAGGAGTTACAAGGTGACTAAGCCAATTGGATGTTCAATTTTTACCCCATCCCAGCCTTTGCAGAAGGTAATCATTTCACATCGGAGCTCCCCTCTTCTACAGCTTGGGTAAAAACAATATCCCACTGGCTAAAAACCATCTCCAAGCGGTAAGGTAAGCTACCCTTCTTTGCGCTCTAGCGCTCAGCGTTGAAAAAGACATAACTTTTCGGTCTAGCATTACACGTACGACTCCCTGGTGCTCTTGCCCAGAACTTAAGGATTTCGATCACTTAAGACGCTCACTAAGTTTCCGCAGACGGAAAATGCAGCACCGATGGGATAAAAGGACAGTTTGGAGGCGAAACTAGCACCGCCACCAGAACTAACCTGATAACTGGTGCACTATCCACGGTCAACAACCAGTCCACGTGCTCACTCAGCTTCACTGAAACAGATATACATAAGAGGAAAATCGAATCAAATAGTGGAGAATGATGCAATTGCAACGTGGGAATATAAAAATCATGTTACTATGAATGTTGTGTTTGGCGCCCATTTCTCGGTCCATGATTCATGTTTGGGGCGCGTTATCTTCCAAAATGCCTGACAGCTTGTCGATTGCAGAAGGGATAGTAGTCAGCATCCGATTACGTTCAGACAATTCCACGTGATTTTGATGCAAATGATATTTAGAGTGCTTGGGGGAACACACAGCTTGCTTTGGACCCATCCTTTTTATCACGAGCTGAAGTGTTCGGCTACCTAGGCTTAGGCTCAAGTAGTGTTTCCCTTTCCAGCAATACTCACTGAACATGCCATTCTGCACCTAACGCTTCAACCGATCGTATGGCCTGGCTGACTTCAAGCTCTCCTCCTTTTGGTGTGAATTTTACCTGCCGCCCAAGTCCCTTCCAAATTTGGACGCTCCGGTGCATGAGAACAGAAGTTATAAATTTTCTGCTAAGCACACACACACACACATACACACACATACAAACACCCACACATATACACACATACACATACACACACACGCGCAGCCGACACAGTTCGTGAGCGCCATACCCGCCACGAGGGAGACCTACTCAACCATTAGTGTCTTATGCTGTCTTTACCCCTATCAAATATGAGCGTTCCTCTTAATTGCACACACCCCGCCCAATGTGGGCGGAGTCTGATCTTGCCACATCCCATAAGCATTTCCGCGCTGCCGCCTGTACCCTTGAATTTGAGCGCCGCAAGTCCAAATCAACACTTTTCGAGCACGCCCCTCCCATGTGGATGGAGTTCACACGAACCAATTACGTTCAATACTCCTGTCGCCTACACCCTTAGCAAATTTGAAGACCTGTATCTGAGGAAGTAAAAGTTAAGAACTCCCGCTCATACACATATCTTTGCACACGCACCACCTAGCGTTTCTTCCTTCCTGCCACCCACCATCAGTATTTCCGTCCTGCCGCTTATACTCTATCCAAATTTGAAGGCTCTACGTTGAAGGAAACCGGAGCTATGGATTTCCGAACAAACATACACAGCGACAAACCAACAAACACGCTTAGCGCCGAAATTCAGAAACTTCTAAGGCAGGAATAGTTTATTTATCTCCTCCTTTCGTTATTTATGTTGTACATGCAGATTTTCGCACAATACCCATAATTGGAGTGAGACCACCATTCTGATGGTGAAGGTTTATTTAATGTCTCTTGCAAGCATTCGCATGGAGGAAGTGGAAAAGCATAGTAAAATTCCTCGTGATTTCAGTCATGTCAATACAGAAGGTTTACAAACGATACACATAAACGGAACCAATAAAAACGAAGCCGCAAGCGGTAGAAAGTCAGGCTTCTGAATGATAGGACCATTGGAATAGTCCGTTTGCAAGTTGATTGTGATTTTGAAGGATTTAACAAAAGGAAGGCCACGGAGGATGACTTATCGAGTTTGTCGACTGAGCTGACTGTCAAGCTGAAGCTTATTACCACTAATATCATATGCAGAAATATCACTTCATTTCCGATTTCAACAAATAGTGTCGGGTGTAGGGGCTGAAAAGTGCAGACCGTAGCTAATTTACTTGATGAAAATCACGCATGCCTTCATCGTTTTGTCTGACGATAAAATTTTTACAACAAAGGCATTCCTCAACGAATAAAACGATTACGATCTGGATGTACATCGAAACTGTGATCTCTCGCAGGAAGCTGTTGTATGAATGACAAATAAAGTTCGCTGAGGAAGTTATGGGCAATGGCAAGACGCCAGTGGCTTCGTCGGTGTCGGCGTGAAAATCAACAAAGACGTGTATTAGAGAGAAGAGTAATGGATGTACTGACCCGACTCCACTTCCTAGAGCACCTCATGGTCCTTTAAGCGTAGACGCATCTTACATAATCGGTTTACTGTATAAGCACTGCAAAAACTGTGACTCAACCTTTAAGGCTCAGTCCACAAGCCGATGCGAAGGGGAGACGTCTGGCGGCAACGATGCCGAACGGCGTCGACTCCCCAGTTCCTTCTCATCCCATGCCCATGGTCTTTCACAGTCTATGGGCGAAGCCCTCCGTACATAAGGCAACTAGTATCATGCTGCCGTAGTAGAGTCTTTGTATAACAGTTCCTTGTCCATTGTTCGTATGGGTGTTTATTGTCTAATGATGAAGCTTCAAGATATCAACAGGTCATCTAACCTCACTCAGTATTGATGCCTCAAAGATAAACTCAATTAATCTGACGTCGTGTAACATGATATCAGCTGCTCCACTGGACGCACTCGCTTTCTGGTAGCAGCGAGTGGTTCACCCCTCGTTATGGTGAAGAAGGGATGAGTTGGTTTAAGTTCCAGTCAGAATTTTGTTTGAGGTGACGACTCACGAAGCTGGCCACTTCGTGTTAGTCCCTTTTTTGATGTTGAATTCAAAGTCGATCGCTCGTCAGATGGTTCGAATATGGGCTACAGGACCCTCTTTTTTTATTACAACCGGCTCTTTCTCCAGCTGTATATCGAGCGTCACTTCTCCATCAGATGCCTTCTGCAAATAGCGCATTTCTTCTAATGTTTCTTCAAACGTCGCTTTTCTTCAGATGCGCGGTCTCATACGGCTTTCTTCTAACATTCCATCCAGATGCGCTCCTTTCTTCAAGCGCTTTGTCGAACGTTGCTTTTCTTCTTACATTCTGTCCACATGCCTTCTTTTTTTCAAATGCCATATTGTTTGTCCGATATTCTCCAGCAATCTCCTGTGAAGGTGGCCTACAAAGCGAGGGCTAAATCGCTCATGCTATAGTTCCGCGGAGACCGGTGATCATCGTCGTGGCTGCGCAGCAAAAGTCGACGTGAGGATTGATAGCCGACAGGGCTGGTAGTCGTAGCGAGGAGAGTAACGAGTAGTGAAGGTATCGTTCATTTTGTGCAATTGTGAAGTCGTGATCGGTTGTGTTGTGTTACCGCGGAAATGAAGCAATGGGTACTTGAAGATATAGGTGAGCATAGTATTACGGCCGATTGGCCCAGCACAGAGACATTAGTTGACGATCCCTAATTAGTGTGGCTGTAGGATACCCCCTCCCCCCCCCCCCCCCCCCCCCCCCCCCCCCAGACCCCCTTACCGACTAAGGATCGAGGAACTGAGGGAAACAGCCATCTCCGCGCGGTTTGGGAGATGGCTTGCTGTG